AATCTAGCGGGCGTATAAGATCTAAAGGAATTACTTACTTAATTATAAAAGAGCCTAATAAATATAATATAGAAACTATAAAAAATAATCCTATTTTAAAAGAATCTAATATAGAAACCTTAACTTCTTTTAAAGAGTTAGATAAGGCTTATTATAAACTATTAACTATAGAGAACTATTGTCTTAAATTACCTATTAATACCTTTTTAGATAATAGACCTAATAAGTGTTTATCTAATGAATTTAAATGTTCTTTATGTTTAGAAAGAGAGAATAAAGTAGAAAGTCTTAAAGAGTTAGAATTAGAAGAAACTAAAGAGAATAATTACTTTTTAATTAATTTAGAAGATAAACTAATAGACTATTTAAACTATTATTGTTTTTATTGTTTAATTAGCCCTTATAGCTTAGAACATTTATATAAACATAATTTAGAAGATTGTTCTAAATTAAAAGAAGATACTATACTAGATTTAAAAGAAAAAGTAAAAGATTATATTAAAAAAGAGAATCTTATTAAAGCTAATCTAGGATGTTTTAGTTGTTTACTACCTTTAAATATTTGTAAGAAATATAAAAGAGATTATAATATAAGTGAGTGTTTATTTAAAGACTATATCTATTATATTTTAAGTATTTTCTTTAGATTTAAAGATCTTCTTAATAGTATTCTAACTAAAGATCTTATTAATAAAGACTTTACTATATTTATTAAAGAGTTAACTAAAGAAGTTAGAATAAAGAACATTATTACTATTAGAATAATAGAGATATTATTTACTCTAGATATTCCTAAGTTATTAAAAGACTTAAAAGAAATGAATATTAAAGAATTTTCTAAAGGATTACTATCTAGTAGTAGTACTACTCCTTCTCCTATTAAAGAGCGTAATATACGCGCGAATTTAGATATAGATCCTGATTTTTATAATACTTATAGTAGTAGTATTTTAGAAGAAGAAGAAGAAGATAATAGTTATTCTTATCTTAATAGGATTTTAGAAGACTATCCTATTACTACTACTTCTAAAGAATCTAAAACTATAAAGAGAGTTAGTTTTAACTTACCTAGTAGTATAGAAACTATTCCTAATAATTTAGAAGATAATATAATAGAAGACTTAGAGGTTAATACTAGTTTTAATAGTAATAGTAGTACTAATAGTACTAAAAAGAGAATAAAGAACTTAAGCTTAGACTTAATAGATAAATCTAGAATAGAAGGCTCTTCTAAAAAGAATAAAAGAGAAGAAATAGATAAGTATTTTAAAATAAAAGAAGAAAGTAAATAAATAGTTAAAAAGAGAATTAAGTAAATAGAGAATATAAAGAGGTTATCTAAATCCATATAGAATTTCTATTCTTTCTAGTTCTATATTTCTAAAGTTCTTTTTATTAAGTTAGTAGAGTTTTACTATTACTTTTAAAGTCTAACTAACCTTTAGATTTAGAATTTCTTTTAGTTATATCTTAATCTTTTAGAGTATACTCTATAGATTCAAGTTTTGTAATTTCTTCGGTTTCTAAATTAGTTCTAAGCTTATTAATATAAGACTTAGAACTCTTTAGAATAGACATTTGTCCTATTAAGATTAGTTTAATACTTTAAGTAAGTTTAAGATTAAACTTACTTAGATATTCTTCTTTAAGAAGCTCTAAGATATAGGCTTCTTTAAGGTCTTTAAGAAGTTGTATAACCTTAGGAGAGGCGTTAGAATACTTAGATAGTAAAGTGTCTAAGTATCCTAAGTCTAAAGAAGAAGTAAGAGTAATAGTAGTAGTAAACATCTTTTTAGAAAAGAAGTTAAGTAATTAAAATAGAAGATTTTTAATTACTTTAGAATTTTCAAATCAAAGTAAAAGAGAAAGAAGAAGAAAGAGAAGTAAAAGAGAAAAAGAAAAAAGAAGGATTTATATAATACTTATTAAAAACTAAAATAGTAAATTAAGATAACTAAAGTAATAAAAGTAATTAGTCTAGTTCTAAGAACTATTCTAATAATTATAAAAGAAAGAAAGAAAGTAATAGTACTATTTTAGATTATAAGTATTAAAGTAATAGAATATAAAGAACTAAAAGGTAAAAGGAAATAAAATAGCTTAGTAATAAGATCTAAAGAGTAAATCTATAAAAGAAGGCTTTTTTATTCTTACTTCTTTCCTTTTAATCTTTTAAGACAGATCTATTTTATATCTTATTATACTCT